CTGCTTTAGCAACTCGGCTGTCAAAGAGGGAATGGCAAGCCACTGGAAGTGGTCATCTTTCCAGCTGGCATAGTGCTCCCAGAAGAGGCTGTGCATCTGTCCCTGGAGAGACAGACTTACAAAATGTTTGAAGCTTTGGCAAACTCAAATGCAAAGAACGTCGCCTTAAATATAGTGCAAGATTACTGATGTGACTAAATAACTGGAAAAGTTGTTCTGCATGTACTACTCTGGGTGGATTTTCATTAAAGGGTCTCATAGGACCAATTGGAGGTAATGCATCCTCATAAGTAAAGATGAGTGAATAGGATTTCACTCAAGTGCAGAAGGTGCTATTCAAAATTGCAAAGAGAATATGACAGAGCATGTCTTTGCTACTTCTTCCAATAACAACAGAAATATTAACAATGCATTCACCTTACATAAAACATAGAATTTTCATGTCCAGAATGAAAATTTTTCCTCTTACGTGTGTCTGAAGGTCTTCAGGCCTCAGCCTCTTGGCTACTATTTTGAAAAAAATATAAGTGATCTCTCAACTACTGGGATGGTATGCATTTCTCACAGAGGCTTTATTTGCTTCTGGGAGCTAAATGCTGAACTATTATGCAGAGTTGCAAGGACTTTGATCTTGACAAAACACGTATTTTGCAGAACAATATTATCTTGGGAGCGATTAAAACTTGCATAAACAAAGGTGGTGTTTGTACTGGCAAACTTTTCTTGCTACTTCTTATTCTCTCCCCACCCCTTGTTTCCCCCTCACCCATCCACTGCTTATGTCATTGCTGCAGCTAGAAAGATCTTTGTTGCTTTCAGATGCTGTCACCTGCATAACAAAGCAGTGATTGAGTTGTATCATTTCTGAGCCTTCAGAAGTGTTAACAGATGTGCCTGTTCTTGAAAGCCAAAGAAGGTGCCGTAGGAGGAGAAAGCTAAGCTAGCTGTAGAAGCTGCAGAAGCTAAGAGAGACTAGATGTAGATGGTAGGATAAAAGCCTGAATTCCTTTTTATCTTAAAGCTTCTTAAAATTGAAAACTGTTTTTTATGTTCCAAAGCTACTTGAACTATGTGGGTAGATTTGGAAGGAAGCTTGGTCTGCATGATGTATGCTGATATAGCTGTAGTATTGGAAATATGTAATTGGGGTGTGTGTTACTTATACACAGCTTTCACGGATGCATTCATGCTTAGCGTTTGCTCAAGGGCAGAGTTGTGCTGAAAATCTCACATAGGAAAGGTGTGATTTCAGAAGTCACTTCAAATCGTGTCAAGATATTTGTGAGCTTTAGGTTGCACATTAAGAAAAACTTTTTCTCCAGGAGGGCGGTGCAGCAGTGGAGCAGGTTAGCCAGAGAGATGTGCAGTTTTTGCCCAGGGAGGTTTCCAGGTCAGCCCCAATCTAGCATTGCAAATAGCTCCCCTTTAAGGGGTAGGTTGACCTGGATGACCTTCAGAGAGTGATCCCTTCCAGCTGCTGTTTCAGTGAGTCTGAAAAGATACTACCAACACATTTCTTCAGGATAATCTTGTGAGAATAAGTTTGCCTTGGAGTACCTGTTTTATTGGGACACTGAAATACTTAATATGTGAATTCAGTCATGTATAAAATAGTTGGGCAATTTTGTTTTCACTCCGTCAAGATGAAAGATCAAATAGTTTTTCATTGGGACTGGCTGTACAGTAACCTGCAAGTGACTAACCTTCAGGACTCCTGAAATTAACTTCCATAGATTTCTGACAGGGGTTGGCAGAGGTTAGGGTAGTTACGGGAGTTCTTTTCAGTCAGAAGAATAGAGAAGCAACACTGTTTGAGTAGAGATGACAGGAAACATATTGAAGGTAAGGCTGACACACAGATCTTGACAGATAGTATGTTCACCAGTGCAGACTTCCACAAGTAATTTACCAACTAAAAATAGTGGAAAGAAAAACTGGACGTATTGCGACGTAAACCACAGGATGGTGTTGACGTAATGTTCGCCTTTTCTTTGCATTAGTCATGTTTTAAAATATTTGGAAAATGCTGTTGGTTGTTATAATATGAGTAGGCTGAAGAGCTTTCTGTGGGCTTTCCAGCATATCACAATATTAATTTAAGCTTGAGGTCAGAATTAATCATTTTGGTCTCTCTCCCCTCTTTTCAACCATCCCACAACAGATATGTTACATCTGCCTGCAAGTAAATAAAGTCCTGTCAATCAGAGCTGTCAGTCGAAGTCCTAAATGTCTGCCCTACTGCTTCTATATGAAAAAAGAAATCCCAGCAGGAGGTTGAAGAATGAAAAGTATAGTGGGAAGGCTTTCTACGTAACAGCATGGGAAGAAGTAGTATTTTTGCCACATTTCTGTTGTATTTCTGTGGTGCCCATTCATGGGCATTACAGAAGTGATTTCCATATGTAAGGGAAGGGCTAAGTCCTAGTCTGTATCCTTAGCGGGCTTTATGAAGCTGTTTTCGCACTTACTGGGTAAGACAAAATAGGGGAGACTTACATGTGCAAATTCCAACCAAAGCTGTTTGATACTAAAGTTGGAGAGAACCGTGTTGTTTTGATTGCTGCATGTTCTAAGATAAGGTTTTGCTCTAATGCTGGTAGTCTTAGCCATGGTAATTAAACTTGTTTTTCCAAGGAAATCTTGAAGATAATTTCCTTAATTCCAAAGCATGTTCTTAGCAATAGCTTCCCTGCAGTTGAGGCAGGAACAAAATCTAATTTGCAGCTTAATATTGAGAATTTAAATCATAGAACGATGTAATGAAGTAGAGTGATCTCTGAATTCATAGAGACACAGCTTGAATGTGTTTATATGCCATGCACTTTCGGAAGCGTACGGAAGTGCATTTATAGTACATACTATAGTGCATAATAAAGAATTGAACTCTAGTTGCTGGTAAGATATGCTGGTTGTAAAGAATAAAGATACTTTTTATCTCCAGTTTCACCATACTGTTTAAACCAAGGAGCCTTTCTTTTAAGAAAATGTTCCTTATTAGAAAATCCAAAGCTTTCACGATAGACTTTGATCCTTATTGTAAAATGAAAGGAGGAGGAAAGCTTTCACACCAAAATGCTAATAATGTTCTCTTTGTCAGTGCCTTTGTATTGTATATGAAGTGGATCTTGGCCTATCAGTCCAAGTTCTGTAGCTTTGTAGGCATCTACCTGCCCATAATACAGTCTTTGGACTGTGTGGTGGACTATACTTTTTTTCAGCTGGGGAAGAATGCTGTTTATCCTTTGTAAAGTATCTGCTCTAAATGTGGATGGAACACACTGTTAAATCAAAAGCATGCGTTTGTTGCAGGTGCACTGTTAATATACTGTTTCTATATTGTTAAATGGTGCAAACCAGAAGAGGCAGTGCGACACTGGGTTTATTGTATGAGCAGTAACTACTCTGCAAACGCCTGATGATTACATGACTGGGTTTTTACACTGTGGTTTGATAAATGGAACGCTTGTCTTGTATTCTAGTCTCTTCAATGTCTCCAGGAAAAAAAGGAATTAAAATCTAATTTGCTAGGAAAGACCTGTACCTTTTAGGCAGGAAAAATAAAAGCAAGTCTTTCGTAGCAAATTATGCTGGACTTGTGCATTTTTATAGTCCTTTTGAAAGCACGATGACAAGGTCAATAGTCCTGTATGCGTTTTCAAATTATTTGCAAGTTGCTGAATGCTAGGCCTTCTAGATTTTTTTTTTTTAATCTGCTTATTTTTATTTATACTTTCTAAGTCCATTCAGTGGTTAGATGTCACTGCAGTGAGCTTCTGGGCATTCTGCCAAGTCTTCAGTATTGTCAGGATGCTGGATAAAGTACAAAGAAAAATGCTTGTCTCTGTTTCCTTGTAAAATTTTACAAGTAGCATATAGCCTCAGAAGTAAGACCACCCTTATTAAAGTAAGCGCAGAACTAGATGAAAACAGGACTGACTCTCACTTTCTCTATATGTACAGCTAGTTATAATGCAGAGTCCAGTTTGACATGTAAGAACTGTAAATGTCCACGAATTAATAAGAAAGTCTGAGCTGGAGCTGTAGGCTTTTGGCATCTAAAGGTGTCTGTGTTTCATACTGTAAAATCGTGTAACAGTGTAACTGTTAAGATAAGTGAAGATAAGCCTTCTCTGAAGTATTAAAACCGAACAAAAATGGTTTGAAATTTTAGAAGCTCACCATTATCATTGCCTCTTTTACAATCGATCCCGTAGTTATGACATGTTTGGCAGAGCCTTGTTCCTAAGCACAACAGTGTATGTTTTCCACAAATGTTCTCACCCTTTTTAAAAAAAGCGCTTTGTGTATTTTTTTTATATCACAACTTGACATTCATTTGATTCAAATGTACTAAGATATAGGAGCATATGGGGGAGGGGACTAGACATTTTTTTGTCATAGAATATGCTATGGTCAAGCTGCTTGTTCATTTCCCAGGTTAATTTCTGTGTAAACGTGATTTCTCTGTATTGAAAAAACCCCAAAATACAGATACTTGCTTGCAAATCTGACTTGAGGTGGAGTGAATGCCAATGCACCCTTGTACTCTTTTGTTTTGGTTTGTTTTGTTTTTTTTTTTTCTTGGTGTGTTTTGCTATATACATTGCACTGCAAAGAACAAAGCAATGTAGCTGCAGTATTTTTTCCCCCTGCATTTTAGAGATGCTGTTTGTAAATGAATCTGAATGGAGATTGTTATGCTTTGATAAGAATTGAAAGGAAATCTGTGTACATGCTTTGGAGTACCCGCTAGGCCAGATTATTTTCTATTGTAAGTTATTACAGACTTTGTACATGAGAGTTTGAGAACAGCCATGCTGTGCCTGCTCAGAGGATGGATAGGATTTAAGCCTCTGACACTATAACGACATAAAAACAAAAGTGATCTTGTTTTTCCTGTAGGAAAACAAAATATAGAAGAAAGGAATTCAAAATTGATTGTTTGATGTTCTCGTGTAATTGCTTCTTTTTACTAATTTCCTCTCTCTTTTTCTTCCAAGTTTGTGCTGAAGCTTTCAATCCAGATGAAGAAGAAGAAGATACAGAACAAAGGGTAAGAATGAGTGAATTGCATCATGCATGGTTCTCCCTACAGTTTGACAGGCAGATGTCTTGTACGTCACCTTTTCCCTACCACTTGTGCATTTCATTCTGAGAGGCTGTGTGGTATGCTGACATTGACAAAGTGACATTGCTCTGAAATTTAGGGCCACTTTGTCTCATGCACTTTTTTAGTCACTATAGCTTTAATATAATTTTACTTCAAAGGGCTTGAGAGCTATGCTTAAGTCTACCATCTTTAAAATTTTGGATATTTTCCTTTCTTAATTATCTTAAAGGCTTGTTGAGGCAATTCCTAGAGCATCAATGCTGTTGTGAAGAATTAGTTCAGCTTTCCCACAGCTGTTTCTTCATGGGTGCTTAAAATTCCTCACATGCTTTTTACTGCCTTTCTTGTCGAAGCGGTTCTGCCTGGGTAGGAGAAATGCTTTGTTGAAATATTTTGAGACTGTGGCCACCTGTTGTTCTATTGGTTTTGAAAGTTGGGAATTTCTAGGAATTGCAAGTCCAGATACTGTAATTGTATTTCTTTAGAGATGCTTTTATTTTAGCAAATCCTGTAGCCTGGCTGGTGAGGGTCAATGTTTTCTCTCTGGACTTCTGGTGTTCCTTTTCCAGATTCCATCTCAAGGATGATTACGCTTCTGCAGTGAAAATCTAAGTCTAATTTAATTTCTCTTAAAAAAGAAGATACTTCATAAATAACATGCTATAAAAAGAAAAAAAGACTATGAGTGTGTCTGATCAGCCAAATGTTTGTAAACCTGGATACATTTACTCCATCAAAAGTCTTAATTTTCCTGACTGCTGATTCAATATTCAATTTTCTTTTAAAACAAGGATCTGAGAACTGCTCAACTTCGGACAATGAATTTTTAGAAATATTTACTAATGTAACTGTTTTTTTGGAATGCTTGTTATTCCAGAAATATAGTTAATGTGGTGAATGTGAGGTAATTAATATTTTTATGTATGTTTTCATAATTAGCCCCCAACAAGCACATACATAAACGTTTTAGGACATGGTGACTGTTGGTTCCTTTAACCCGATGAGATGTTTATAATTGGAAAGAAGTAACAAAAAAAAAATCTCTCAAACAGCAAAACTTTTGTTTAAGTAATTTTGTTGGAAAAAAGATACGCTTCTTAGATAACTTCTGTGATTAGATGAGCTGAGATACATATGTATCATAAATCTTACAAACTACCTGTATGCCAACAATAAGTATGTTGGGACTAATATAGCCAGAGTTTAGAAAGAAAACCGTTGACTTTTATCTCTGTTCCAAATGCTCAAGCCTTGACTGTATCTGTGGCTGGGTTAGAAGGGGAGGGAAAGGAAAAGGCATCCTCCTCTTTCTTGTCTGTCTTGACTGTTGTTTTGCATGTGTTCATTGTCAGCATAATATATTTCTTATGTCTCTTTCATTCTGTCTTGCACTGTATGTTTGTATATAAGTACTGTTTATGCAAAAACCAAAAAAGAACTGTATACTTTGACACTCTTAAATTATGTTCTGCTTTTTCACTCTGAAATGAAGGTTCAATCTGTAATCATATTTCTTTGTTGTCATGACAGTTTTGTTTTATTTTGTTTTAAAGGTAGTTCATCCAAAAACTGATGAACAGCGATGCAGACTGCAGGAAGCATGTAAAGATATCCTGCTCTTCAAAAACCTAGATCAGGTAGTATTTTAAAGAAATCTTAACTAGAGTTGATGATTTGTAGGTACAGGTAATAGCATGATCTAACAGTCCAGACGCTTGTTTGCATTGTGATAGTTCATGAATTATTATATGCAGGCTGGATTGGAACATGTGTTTGGATATCAACACTCAATGAACAATATAAACAAATATGTCAAATTTTCAGTTACCACGGGTGTCAGATTCCTCTCCTTGAAAATTCAATCTTTTTTTCTTTTAGAGAAAGGTTTGGTGGTTTTTAAAATTCTTTTGCTTATCTTTCAATATTTGCTGTTGGGTACCATTGCACCTGATTTCCTTTTCCCTAGGAAACAGTTCATAGTTTTATGGGCAATTTAAAAAGGAAATTACTTACACAATAGTGATACTGAACACTATCCACATTTGCATGATTTCAGATTGCTGCACCTTTTTCTTAAATGCCAATGTGTCAGCAAATTTTCTGTAAATGACTGTAAAGTTAATGTTTTTAGGTTGTTCTGATTCTTACTCGTCTTATTTTTATTGCTTCATTGAGTTTTAATGATGAGTGTCTCCATTGCTTGCACTTAGTAATCTTAATTGGTATGAATTTGTTAATGAGGATCATAGGATAGTTCAGGAGCAGACCTTTGGAGATCCTCTAATCCAGCCTCTGAGAGACCATGGACTAAATGCATCTCATTTCTGATCTGGTGTTTCCATGAAAAGAGAACTGACATCTCTACTACAGGTTGGGGAAGAATGAAAACTGTAACACCAGCGATGGTCCCTGCAGCTTCCTGGTTTGAGTCATTGAGCTTTGCTTGAGATATGAAAGGATGGATATGAACGCTTATGTTTCAGAAACGCTGCTCAGCTTTCCTTGAAAACCAGGAAGTTCTCCCAGTTCTTGGTTGCTGTACAAACCCCAAGAGTCATTGAACTGCATTCTCAAAATAACTGTTGAAAGATTTTGATTGCAGCAGGCTTGAGGAATTGACATGCTGTCAAAGAGTTTCCTTGAAAGCTGTCCTTTCCAAGACGGGCCTTTCATTGTTCTGGGATTCCTGTTGTCATTAAGCCTATTTACTTAAGACATTTTAAAGGTTTCTTTTGCAAGTAACCTGATTATGTAAATAATGAAACATATTTAAGAACATTCAGCAGCTCAAGGGGTATGTACAAAATGTAATCACTGTTCAAATTGAGTAAGCCAATCTTTTAGCTTCCAGCAAAATCACCCAGAAGCAAAAATTAATAACTGGTTTATATTCAAATACGGCTTTGAAAAACAAATTTGAGCTGAGAAAGTGGGCTTGGAAAAATCCTGCTTCCTGGGAAAAGCTTTCTAAGCAGCTGAGTAGAGAAGTAATGGAAATTATCTTAACTGCAACTGTTAAGTCTTAACTGCAAAGTCTTAAAGACTCAGGCTTTAATATAGCACATCGCTGAAAAAGATGACTGCAGTCCATACATTGATTATAGTATGATAAAGGGCACTTAGCAGAGAGGGAAGAGCTCTCCTAGTAATGGGTATAATGGGAGTATGGAACTTTCAGCCTTTCACCCCTCCTCCCAATAATTTCATTTTAACTCCTTCTGTATAATGTGACTGGGTTGGAAGGTTGGCTGTAGAATACCCGCTGAAAGGCAGAATGCATGGCTGCTGCTTTTGCTCAGTGTATATTGTCCTTTAATAGTTGTGAGGAACACTTCCAAATTAAGGCTCAAAATAGTTCTTTTGTTTCTTAACCTCTAAAGAATGTAAAACTGTTAAATACAAGCAAACAAACCCAACCACAACAAAACTGCATAAAACCCCTTTTGGAATAAATATGATTGTGTCATATCCTGGCCAAATTCATCCTTTTTCCACTGTTACATTTAGGTGAACTGTGCTGAATTTAGGCCCAGTGACTCAATAGCCCTTTTAAATGTCTTCACTTGCATGAATAGTTGCTGCAATACTTGGTATCAAAACAAGGAAGCCAGTGTCCAGTGGATCACTTCTAGCAAGGTTCACGTTGAACTTGGGACTAAAATCAATTCAGATTGTCACAGAGTCTAACTCTGAGATTTTGAGCATCCCCAATGATAAACCTGATTTATGTTTCAATATAAAGTGCTGGGGGAGTAGATAACTTCTCTCCTGTTAAAAGCTCTGTGTGATGTGCAGGCTCTGCAGTGTCTTATAAATGAGTTTGTAGAATCCTAGTTACAACTGAATTTTGTACTGGGTGAGAGCAGTTACTGTTATCCATACCAACAAGGCCCCTGACCATGCTCAGTACCCATATTTAAACCAAGAGGGTTTTTTTTACAGTTCAGAAATCTGATGAAGCTTGTCCTTTTATTGACAGAAGAGCTTAGTGTTTTATTTACTTAAAATGATGTCTTTGCCTGTTTGTCTTCCAAATAAGGCATTATTGAGTTACAATACTTTTAAAAAGCTTTTTAAAATCTGCATTGCTTGTTTTTCTGACAACTGTTACTTACATGCATTCTGTGAAATATGTGGTCAAAATAAACAGCTTTCATGCAATGATTGTTTGTTTAGTTTAAGTATCAGGACAGTTTTTAAAGACAAGAAAATAGGATTCTAGTGAAAAGATAGGCAATATTTTCAATATAGTGGTGCCTACAGATGCTGCAATGAATACTCCCAACTTAAGGAGTGCAGTAAATATTTCAAGTGTATCTAGCAGCATAAAGACTAGTTTGCATGTTCATGCAGTATATTTTTAGAAACTCGGCTCTGATCTACATCTTCAACTTTGAACATCTGATCATTGAAAATGCAATGAAAGTCTATTGTTAATGGACTTTGGAGTAACAAAGATGGTAAAGCAGCTCAATATTGAGGCAAGGCATCTCTCTTGGCTTTCACAGCTTCCCTGGCTGTGCTGCCTACAAAAACGTTTAGTCATGGCTCATCAGAGAAACCTAGCTTGAGTCTGCTGTGCAGACCAGCATTATCCCATTTTCTGTATGTGCTCCCCATCTGTACCTATCTGATCTCGTCTTGTGCTGGAATTGCAGGTTCTTTAAGACACAGACTGTCTAGGGAAATAACTCTGTTTGCATAGAGTCTTGTTCAGTGTAGTCCTGATCATGACTGAGGCTTTTAGATGATGACAGTACAAATAAGTTACTAATAAATCATGGTGCAGTTTCTAGACATACATACATATAATGAAATATATGTACTGTTGACATAAATCAATATGTATTCATTGCAGTGAAGCTGTGTCAGATTATACCAAGTGAGAGCTTGCTGTACATGTGTGCTTTGACACTGAAATAGTATGCATAAGTTAAGCCATTTGGACATAAATTTGAGATAATAGCTCTTCTGTAACAGAAGTATCTACATTTGTCTGCATTATTGAACTTATATTAATAAGCTGGAAACAGTGAGGTGCTAGTGGAAATCAACATTTAATATCAGTATTACTTGTATTTGCATACAGTAAAAATAATGCAATGCGTGTTGCACTTCACTATCCAGATCAAGTCAAATGAACTCACCCTTGTTCAGCAATAATGCTAAGATGTATTTTCTGAGAGTGGGTTTTATTTTTCTTTCTTTTTTCTTTTTTCCCCCCTCCTGTTCGTTTTATAGGAGCAGCTGTCTCAGGTCCTTGATGCCATGTTTGAGAGGAAGGTCAAACCTCAGGAACATGTGATTGACCAAGGTGATGATGGAGACAACTTCTATGTCATTGAGCGGTAAGCAGCTGGCCTTTGAAATGTAGAGTGTGTTTCTTTTCAGTTTCTTAGAAATGACAGGGAGTGCTTACTGCAGGACAGTTTCTGAAGGAAACTTACTTTTTGCGGTTTTTGCCTCTTCCTTTGATCTTTCCGTTCTCCCCTTTAGGTCCCCATTGACTTTTGGGTCATTTGCCCTGGGGGCAGTCAAATTTTTCAAGAGGTGGACATTCAAACCTGCTGGGTTTTAATACATTCTGTGTGACTGCATAAAAACTCAAATACCACTTTCTCTGAGGGAGGGGCTGCAGCATAAGCTTGCCTATGACTTGTTCAGTTTAGCAGTTGGAACATGATCTTAGCAAACTACTTTTTTGATGCACTGTTATCTTCCTTATCACTGAAATAATGGCACCATTAATATTGTATTAAATGCTTTCAAAGCAGTTCTTCAAGACAACATGTTGCCTTTTGAATTGTCATTTATGCTGTGTTTAAGGAATTTGCAAAAGAATTTCTAGGTTAGAAATTTTAGGTTCATTTTAAATGATCCTTGTTCATTTTAAGGACATTCCCCCTTCTGATTAGTAGAATTACAGAATGTAAGGCTACCTCAAATATATTCTAACCGTATGCCCGTTCCCCTGTCCTCTACCATACCATCCCATTAGCCTAAACCAGTGCTCCATTTCTACACTCATTTATCTCCCTCAACCGCTCTACCTCAGACCAGTCCCATGTCTTTGGCTAGATAGGACAAGTTCCTTCTCTTGCCATGTTCGCTGGGGAGATCAGGCTGTCCCGGATAAGAGTAAGGTACTGCAGATCAGAACTCATGGGAGCCTGAGCCACCAGGTCTGCAAAGATGAGAGGTATGCAGAGCAGTGGTTCCTAATCTTGAGGAAACTTAAACTCAGTTTGGGGGCCTCTTAAAAAGGGTAGATACCATCAGCCTATTTTAATTTGTTTCTGTGTAAGGCTCTTAGCCTGTTGGTTACTAAAAAGCTCTTCCTGCTATGAGTTTTAACCTAAAATAAAGTAGTGAAATGGAACCTTATCTTTGATATTCAGGTCAATGTTTTTATGGTCTCTGTTCTACAGATGTAATGTTATTCCACAATGTTTTTTGCCATCAAGAGATAGTTGGGTTGGAAGATTTCAGGTTTTTAAGTTTTTGTTTTGTTTTCCTCTCAAGGTATAATACACCAGTAACATAAATACGTTGCCAAAAGTATGTGGCAGAAAGGCTATGCAGTGAGGGAAATTAAACTTGGTGTTGTCTAGCAATAGAGCATACCAGTCTTTGCTGTAAACACCAACTCGGCTGCAGCTCTTATGTCAGCTATTCAGTTAGAAAGAATTCTACAGTAACAAATTTTCTGTTCCACTCTCTCCCTTTCCAGTCCTCCTCCCTTCCAATCCTCCTCCACCTCCCACCCCCTCATTTTTTCATGCAAAAGAATAGCAGGATACTGGTGCTTATGGAAAGCTACGGTATTTCCACTGGCCTGCAAGTGCAAATTTGGTGGACTCTGGCTCTTTCAAGGCATCAGTAGGCATGTCTTGTTACTCTAAGATAAGTCATTAAGGCCTAAATATCCCTGAGGATGAGTTTCTTCCTGTCTGAATGAACAGGGACTTTGTGTTGCAGGTGTAACTCTTGAGCTTCTTGTCTGCATACAAAAATAGGCTTTCTGGCACAGACCTTCCCCCCCGCCCCAAAGTCTTCTGGTTGTAACACTTCCTTACCAGATCACTTTTGTCTGAGTGTCTTTTACCATGTGCAGAGGGACAGCAGGCAGGACAGATGCAACTTGAGGATGCAGCAGTTATTTAGTGCTTACTGCATGGAAGGGAGAGCTAGGACAAATGTGTTGCATGCCTAAACATTAGTATGCTCATCACTGCCGGGGAGGCACCTGATGAGTGCTGATTGAGCAGTCATCAGTCAGGACGGGCAGCATTGGCCTCTGTTGCTTCTTGGAACAGACTGATCCACAATCTTGCTGAGTTGCCCTCTTCTGCTTTTCTGCTTTTTTTTTTCCTTGAGGTTTTATATTTTTTTCATGTCAGTGTTTTTCTTTTGAGTCCCTGAGCTCCTAACGATTACAACAATTACACTTCGGTCTGTGTTTTTATTCTTCTTATCTTGCAGGGCTTTAGCTCACTGACTGTCTCATAGCTCAGTAACAGTTTTCTCAACAAAGCTGAGCCAAGGTCACCCAGTGGTGCCTCACCAATTTAGTCCTTGGGCCACAGACAGCTGAATGCTTGGCTGAAGGTTACGTGGCTATAGTTATTTGGAAAGAAATGGCACTAGTAAGTGACTTTCAGGCTGAGGGATGGGAGGAAGTTGTTGCGTTTGCTTAAGGTGCTCACAGATGGCTAGATCAAAAAAACCTCAGAAGATTGTTGCCTCTGGTGCCTCGCAGAGAATCATTAAATAGATATTGGACATTACAAGAATTAGTGAAACTTTCCATCAACACTAATCCTTATTTAGTTTACTGTTAGCATGCTGTTGGTTTCTTTCTGTCTCCTAGGTGTGAGTAAGCAGTAGAGTGTAAAAAGTGTCTAGTAAGGATGTTATGCAGTCTTCATATGCCTAGCTTCCTCCTTTAGCTTTCTGGGTGACAGAGACTAAATTTCTTGGATCTTCTGACCATCTGGCCCATCTACTATTGACCCAGTAGCCAAACTGGGCTTTAATACAGTAGACCCTCAAGTCATTGTGCAAAGCTTCCTCACTTTGATGTATTTTAATTGTTTGTTTCATGCATGTAATGTCCACTTCGTGGAATGTCCTACAAATGAAGCTGGTGTAAAGTTGTCCTGTAGTAGATGCAGCAGTGTTCAAAGATAACTAAGAAATCCAGGGCTGTCCATCAGCACCCCTGAAAGACCCTCGGCTGTTAATACTAGGCAGATCTCACCAATGAGCCTGTTCCCATACTTGTTTACCATGAGAAGTTTCACCTACTGCCATTTCTGGTGATTCTTTTTTTTCTTACATGCCTAATGATGTTCTGGGGGATAATACCATGCCTTCTGACAAAGATCTAAACTCCTGGGGAAAATTATATGCATGTTCAGCTGCTTAAAGCCGTGAAGGTGTTCCCTGCCTGCTTTTCTCCAGGGCATGATATATTTTGTACAGTCTCTTAGGCCAGTGGCTAGTCCCTGAATGATCTTTGGTGCCATAGCCAAGAATTAATCAAGCCTAGTCAAGCTATATTTTTAAGTTTTTTTTTTTTTTAAAGCCCCAAGCATAAGACAGTCCTGAGAGTGTTACAGACACTTGTTTGACTTTTAAAGGGCTACCTTTCTGTGCACAGCCTGTGTCTTCATATGCAGTTGCTGTGGTGCAGTTTGATCCAGATTTGTGTCTTGAGCTTTGATTCGCTGGACTTGTACCTGCATCTTCATCAGAGTAGTCTTTTGATTCTTAGTAAATTCTGGGATATTGTTCCCTTAACTTCATTCTAATGTAGAAAGTGTGTGTCTTGGAGAACAGGGTGAGGAGGCCTTTCCAATTTAAACAGGGTATAGCTCCCTATGAACAAAGTGCAAGGAGGCTTCTGGTACTTGATGACTTTCCTATTGATCTGTTCAGAGATCCTGGCTAGATGTCAGCAATTTTAGAGAGCTTTCCTGTTTCTAGAAGTCAGCTATAACAAAAAAAAAAGGAATTAAAAACCTTTTAGGTTGGCTGCTTTAATTTGAAGCCAGTGTGACTAGAGTGGAACCCATAATGTTCAGCAAAACTGCTGGAAGTTACTTACCCATGCTTCCTAAGCTTGTGTATCCTACAGCGTCACCTCAGCACACAGAGCTTTGTGAGAGTTGAACAGATGCTCTTCAAGTTTGAACATTGCATGCTGTAACCTGTGTTCTTCAGTAGCCACATCTCCATGAAAATGGTGATAAAATTGGTTGGTTGAACTCTCAGTGTGCTCGGAGTTGCAGCATGGTGTGAAGTTGAACTGAGTGATAAAAGTTTTGGTCTTAAGGGAGCTATTAGACAAATACCAGGTGAGAAATGGTTGCCTCTGCAGAGCTCTGTGCTACAGTGTAAAGATGTGGCATGTATAACATTCCTGACCTAGCTTTAAATCCTCCAGCTTGAGGATCAGTGTGTGCTGCTCATAATGACTGATCTGTTTGCACTGCAAAACTCACTCAGTATCTTAGGTATGTAAAGAAAGGCTCTTTCTGTGATCTTTGTGCTTCTACGGCATCACTGTTGTCCATACAAGAGCTGGACAATCTGAATCTAGCATGAGCATATGCAGATACAAGCTACAATGGCATCTTGGGGTTATGATATAGGCCTATCCTTAAGCTGGAGTTGAGGTAAAACCATAGGAGCAGTTGGATTGAGTGTATCCCAAAGGTACTGCAGCAATACTGTCACTGGGAAAATGGGTATAGATGGGTCCAAGTCACTCTAAAGAGCCCTCACTGGATAACACACGTGCTGTGAAAAGACAAATACTGTTAAAGATGATGAAACCACCTATCACCCTGGCCAGAACACTTACAATAGCAATGTCAAAATACTATGCAGAAGAAACCAAGTAGATCCTGCCCAGATCTAGCAGGAGTGAAATGCTTTATTAGGAGAGAATTGTTGTGAAAATAGTATAGATAGAAGCAGCTTAGTATCAGGCAATTGGAAAGCGCAATAAAGCATGTTCCATCTCACCTAGCAATAAGAGGACTATTTGTATAACAGCAAAAAGCTGTTTTTATGATTTGTACTGGAATGTTGTCTAATAAAAAGCATCTATTCCTTTGTTTTCCAGGGGATTGTACGATATTGTTGTAGCAAAAGACAACCAGTCACGCTGTGTGGGCCGCTATGATAATCATGGCAGTTTTGGGGAACTGGCATTGATGTACAACACTCCTAGAGCTGCCACCATTGTTGCCACAACAGAAGGAGCCCTCTGGGGACTGGTAAGGAATAGAAGTTGCTCTCATATGCATAATATTTTGAATACTAACTCACCGTGTCCAGTGTTTCTCTTTGTGCTAATAGCTGTTTTATCATGATCTGTTATCTCACCTCCTAGCATAAGAGATCCATTGTGCAGATCTTTTTGGCCACCTTTCTAGCACAACTTGTCTCTGAAAACTACATCACTAGTTTTATCTGTCCCTTTACTATTTTGCATTTGCTGTAATTGCGGCTTTTGTAAGGGGAAAAAAACCCTGGTTTTGTTTTCATCCTGCAGAGGACAGTGGAGGCATTAATGCACGTTTTTTATGGGAGGGGGAAACAATATCTAAATTAAGTTCTTTATTTTTAGCTTACCTTCCTACCATTTTGTCTGCTTTAAGGGGAATGGGAAGGTGTTAAATATCTTCTTGAGGATGTCAGTAATTTGAAGAGCTAGGAAAACTGCCCAAAGCTTTGTTTCCCTTCAAAATAAACTGTCATGATGTTTCTGGTCCCTTTGTGTTACCCTGGAAGAGATTCTCAGGTCAGCATGACCTATGAGATACCAAGCTAAATGATGGTGTAGCTTTGTCTCTAGCCCTGCAGTGTTGAATGTGAAGCTGTAGACATTAGTTTCCTTTTTTAGTTCTTTTCTCTGTACTATTTACATAGGGTTATTTTCACAGTGCTCTCTTACTCATCTGTGAGGGCTCACATAATAAGCGGATTGTGCGATCAACGAAGCCTTTGAAGCCAGAAGTGTTGTATGCTTTCTGTGTGCGCTGGGCTCCTTGGCAACTATTGCTGGGGGTTGACCACGTGTTGTGACCTTGATTATAGGACTGATAAGCTGCTACACCCGGTGTGCTTATGCGCAGTCTCAGTGCTTGCTGAGAGATCTGACTTAACTTTTCTGTGTGAGTTGAAAGAAAAGATTTTGGTAAATCAACCAGGCAGTAATGTCACAGTCTAATTTCTTGAACAAGCTCAGCTACCTACAAACTGAACTCATTAATAAAGGAAGAAAATGAGAAGATGATTCTTTGTTCCAGTTTGCTTTTGAAAAGAACTGCACAAATTGGGTTAATTTTGGGTTTGTTTTTTCTGTGATTACATTCACTTAATTAGCAAGGTGTAGTTGAAGGGGGACCTCTTGCTAGTTATCTGTCCTGTGGATATTTTATTAACTAAGGCTGTATTTTCCTGCCTAAAACTTAGGTTATTTCTTCCAGTTTTTCTGTCGTTGCCATGTTTTATTGTACTATTTTGTGCCTGATGTAATTTAAACATTATATTTTTATTAGTCTGCAGAAGTCATTGCTAAAGCTCATAGGTTATCTGCCATTTAGGAAATGTGGATTACTCCTGCTGCATTGCAGACTTAAGCCAACAAAAGCCTGGAAGGCTCAGGCACAAAGCAGTTATCAAACGTGGGTCTCTTCTGGAGCAGAGAAACATCCTCAGCCTTTGCTAGTGAACATGTCTGGGGAAAACCTCACAATCACACACGCTTCCTTCACTGCTCTGCCTTTTCTGTTCAAATACTGCTGCTTCTCCTCCCTCACTGATACTCTCAAACAAATGAATTCGGAATTTTTTATGCTTTTGCAATTCCCCTGACCTTTTCTGCATCTTTCTGTTTCTCCAAACATGTACATTTGAAGAGACTTCTACCACTGAAGAATTTATTTAAAAAAATAAAAATAAAACAGTCCCTCATGCTTTATCATCTCTTGTGCTCCTTTGGATAAAAGTAATACCATTCTTCCCTTCATCTTTCACCTCCTTCAGCTTTTATATCGCACTAGTGTCACCTGCATCAGTCATTGTTTCAAGTTACAAGTAATTGCAGCCTGCATCCCATAAAAGTGTTCTCTTACTTGAAAATATCTCTTCACCTCAAATGTCTCTGCTAAGGTATCAGTTGATGTTTTCAGAAAATGAGATCCAGAGGAACGGCTTTCAGCACTTCGGATGTTTCTGCTAATTGTGGTATATGTAAACTTAAAAGATTTTTTTTGTACCATTTTCCTAACCAAATTTCTGCTCCTTTCCTCTGACTCTTTGTTTTTAATTTTTACACTTATGGCCTCATGTTGTTTAAGGTAATCTCTGCAACTCTCCCTCTGTTCATAATTTTGTGCTGATCCTAACAGGGACATGGGCATTATTGTAATGCAAACACTAACAAAAATACCTGGTGGGCAAGTGCCCCTCCCCTTAGCCTGGGCGTGCTGTTTAGTTTCAGCTCTCTTGTGGTCTTTCTCATCGGTGTTTGCCAGTAGTTGAGCCCTGCCTTTTCTGTGTGGAAATAAAAAGCATTTTGTTAAGATCTCTGACAATAAACTCTCAAATATGTCTGCCGTTGCAGGTACTGAGACAGGAGCGGTGGTTAACTGGGCGAGCTTGCCTTCGCTCAGGCACGTAGTGCCGCCCTGTGGCCACGGAGCCTGCACATTACTAGCTGCTGCCTGGGGAAGAAATCAGTGCAGGAGGGGTGGCAGGGGGTGTGTGGGAATCTTGTCCAATATTTGGGCTTCAAAACCAAACCAAACAATTTTTCCATCAGGAAGGTGCTTATGGTACATGTGGACAGCTGGCAATTAGGAAGTAGTCGTTGCAAAAAGCTGTCTCTCGGATCCTAGAAGGTGGAGGGGTGAATCGAGCCTATTGCTGTTTGATACTCTGTTCCTGATTTATTTGAGACCAGTATAGATCTCCAACTCACTTTTGAAATCTGTGACTCAAGTAGAGAAGAATCCAATTCAGACTTAATCCTGCAGTTGCCTTAACAAATAAGTGTTGGAAATTCCAATTTCCAATGGCTTCAGCAAGAGGAACATAACGTCTTCATTGTATGTGGAAGCATGAGAGATATATTTACAAACAGCCAAACAAAACCCAAAAACTCAGCCCTGAAGAACAGTACAAGATAGACTAAAAACGGAATTCTTAAATGCTTATCTGAGAAGGATCAGGTCTTACAGCTGCCTGTTTTTCAATTTGGTATTGCAACAAGTACTCTCACAAGAGCTGTTACGATCACCGTTGTGATGGATATAGTATCATTTTAACAGCTGGCTTCTCAAACCCAGCATTTGTTGCAAATACTAGTTGATGTTTGTCAGCTCTTTAAACAGGGAGCATTTTAGTCAAGAGGAATAATGTATTTTTCTGTGCTGTTTCTTGCAGGATCGAGTGACATTCAGAAGAATTATATTGAAAAACAATGCAAAGAAGAGGAAGACGTATGAATTATTTATTGAGTCTGTGCCCCTTCTTAAATCCTTGGAGGTAAAGCCTCTCAGACACCTCTGCATCAAATTCTTGCATTAGCATTAGCTCCGCAGTCAGTGTTTCTGCTATATCAGAAGTCTGTGTCATTTTTGCTTAGAACAGAATTTTAAGACCTGCTTTGGTATCATGTTTACTGTACAACTTAATTTGCATTGTTGAAGTTGTACACTGTTTTTTTCATATCCTTTGTTCACAGTAAGCGATTTGCTGATTTTATCTCGGTCTGTGTAAAGATTAAAAAAAATCACAAAATACCACAAAACAAAAAACATCCATAAATATGTCAGAGAACAGGTGTTAAAGTGAAAATTGGAACTCAGGGCTGTGGTTCCCTTTAAGGTTGTGATATTAAAGTAATAATACAATCACTGGGATATTTGGCCTTTATCAGCCATGAATTTTTTTTAAATTTGAGACAAAGATGTGGGCTGTAGTAGGTCTTACTTTAACCTTAACTGATACTCAGGAGGTAAAGTAAGAATAGGCTAAAGGGAAGCACTGCTACCTGGGAACAAAATGACCAGAGCAGGCAGATGTCATGTTGATGTGTGTGGTGCATGACTTTAGGAACAACCTGTAAATTGTCATTTCTAAGCTATTGATTCAGCCTGTATCTTCAGAGGGCTTTTGGAGCCATACCAAACTGCTTAGAAATTAGTATGTGTCTGTCTTTGCCTTACACCATAATTTAGCTTTTCTTTGTTTTCTCATCATAAGAATATTTTTCAGCATTAATCTTTAGTATTTGAGAAGAGCTTTTAATCCCTTTGAGAGAAGATTACAAAATTGCAAACTATCATTAGGTGTGAACAGCAACCTCTAATATATATTATTTTGGACATATGTTAGTAGCTGTGGAATGGGTAAATTGCACACCACCTTCTCTCTCAGTGCCTGGCTTAAACTAGTTCCATCAATGTGACTTTTTTTGAGCACAAAAATGACTCATAAATATTTAAAGTTATAGAAAAATAACTCATTAGCACTGGATGGCTTTTTGCATGACACACTGCAGTTGAATCATGTGTGGATCGGAATTAAGTTTCTCAAACACGGGCTAGATTGAGCTGCATTTGTGGAATGAATGGATTACAATTGGATCATCTGTTGAGACATTAATTTTAACTGTAGGATTTTCTTCCTTTCTTAATATGTTTTTTACACTGCTCTGAACCAATAAAATTGTTTTGTGGTGTTCTAGATGGGCAGTGGGGCACACTGGAGATAAATTTAACTGTTTTCTCCCTTCCTGTTTATGAAGACTCAGGCACGTTTCATTGCGCGTCAGATTAGTACCTCTTGCCCTTGCTGCTGGGCATCCTGTTGCGGCGCCTGCTTACAATTTAGAGCAGTATCCTTTTCATATCTCCTTCCTCTCTCCGCTCTAGGAATGAGTTCTGGGACACAACCCCCTGCCCTGCATATTCAAGTATATGGTGATTAAAATATTTTGGAAATGTGTTGCTGGTGTTTCTCATTGACGTTTGTTCTTAGAAAGTTTATGACATTTTTCTGAGTGTTTTCTTCAAATTTCAACGGCATCTTAGAGGCAGTGATTCCCTCCCCCCCGCCCCCGCTTTGGTCTAAACCAGCCAAATCAGTTATTTGTTAACTTTGGGGGGAAGAAAGGCGCATGAATGGGACATTAGGCAATTTTCTTCCCCTATTGATTATGGTAGTCTTAAAAGCTGTGGAGCAGTATGACAATGCCATTGTAGGGGCTGTGTTTTTCAGTACCTGGATACTGCGTGTTTGTGTGTCTAGTGAATGCCTCTTCATTTCAGGGCTACAAAGTTTATCAGAGGTGTACTATAATAGATGATTATGTTTAATTTTCCTCTTTGTTCCAGGCATCAGAGCGAATGAAGATAGTGGATGTTATAGGAGAGAAAGTGTATCAAGATGGGGAACGTATCATTTCTCAGGTACTTGAAGTCTAAATTTCTCATTATCATTCTCCTTTCTCTGCTTCTTTTTTCATGTTCGGAATTGACTTATAGAATCCTATTACTTGGACCAACTTGGCATCACTTATTTCTTTTAATACTTCCAATTAACCACTTCTTGAATGTTTGTAGTCTTTTGCTACAAATTTATTCTACTATTTTAGCTTCTGGGTTTTTCTTCTCTCATCTGTTTGTTTTTTATAAATGGTCTTTGCAAGGTTTCAAGAGGAGTATGCCTTAAGAAGCTGAAATTAAATGTCTGTCTATGGAATTTTCATGAAAGCCTCCGGCTAGACTTTTCATAGGCACCTATGACCAGATTAAACCAGGAGTCACAAGCATGCAGTAAAGGCATCTCTAATTCCTAGGTCTGACTAAACAACAAAATCAAACAATTCAACAGGAGTATAATTTGGATGAAACTGAATGAAGTCATTGGGAATATTTTACTAGTTGGACCCAACTCAGTTAACTATTCTAAGAAACTGTCAGGGTTAATTAAAACCACTGTTCTTCCTGATGCTCTTGAAAAGAGTATTTCAGTGGTGAGTAGTCTAGCTTCAATCGACAGCCTTTGGTTGTTGGTTTGTGTTTTGTGTGCTGTATTAGATCAAGGCCAGAGTGGTGGAACATGAAGCTGGACAAACTCAAGCTAAAGCTGCGGGAATTTTTAGGCTGTGACACAAATAACTTTTTGGAACACTAGTACTGATGAAACTGGAATTTTGCATCAAGTTTAGCTCGGGGTTACTTTGTTTGTTGCAAAAGTTCTCTAGGTCAAGTAGAAGTTAATGCAAGAAAGTCCTTGGCTTACCTGAAATTGCAGGCTTTTGATCACAACCATTGTCTTGTTTTATAAACCGAATATGACTCCTTGATAATGTCTTGAATAATTAATCTTAATTGCCTTGAATGTCAGATAACCCTGAATACAGGAAACCTTAGTTTCTGATAACCAAATACTGCCAAATTACTTCTCACCAAAAATACCCTCAGTTTTGTAAGTTATATCTTGTTGCTTGAGACCCTGAGAAAACTGAACACTCAGCAAAATCAAAGTTTATAAATCAGTCTCAAAACTGGGAACCCACGCAATCAGTGATTCAATTACGCAGTTGGGTTTAATCTTTTGTAATAACTGAATTAAGGACAAGGATGTAATTACCCTCAAAAGGAGGATTAATAGTCTGGATAGGTCTGGGTGATGGTAATACACTGCAGGGCCACCTAGAGCCAGTTGCCCAGGACTCTGTCCAGATGGCTTTTGAATATCCCAAAGGACGGGAGACTTCAGAACCTCTCTGGGCAACCTGTTCCAGTGCTTGGTCGCTCTCATGGTGACGTTTTCATAGAAACAGCTGAATTTGACTAAACCAAAATTTTTTATTTCACACTCAGTTATTCAACAACACCTTATGATATCTTTCTAGAACTTGATATAAAATGGCTATCAGTTTTTATTTTCTCCCACTTGCCCTATGTGACTTCATATCATTTAATGGCATGATGATATTGAGTGCTTTATTCCTTACCATTCTCACTACCTTTACACAGCCGTTGCATCATTCCTCATGTAGATGGCTTGCATCGTGGACTTGGTTTTCTGTAAACTATCCTCCTGTTACTTTCTCTGTTCATGCTCCTCAGATACAGCTACTCTGGCTTCTGCTGATCTCCCACTATTTTATCCTGGATTGACTGAGCTCATACTCCTTCTTCCTGCTG